CCCCCAAAAAAAAAAAAAAAAAAAAGTAGGGGAACAGGTATCACCCGGATGGCTGGCAGTGGTGCCAATAGAATGAAAACTGACATACTGCGAGCACGCGGGCCCGCAGCCCGTAGTATTTCCGTGCATTCGGCAGTAGTATCTCCGTGCATTCAGCAGTCTCTGCTCAATGCCACTCGGGGGGGACCAACGACATATCTCTAGGGTGGCGGCTCCAAGCTTGCCCAGGAAGGTACATGAGCCCTATGGGACCCAAGACCTCTCGAATGCCACTTGCGTGCCTTGCCAACTGAGCTAGGCCGCTGATTTCTTTCTTTTTTTGGCCTCCTCCACTCACGCTTCTTTTTTTTTTGTTTTTTTTTTTGTGGAAACCACTCGAGCTTAGCCGTCTCCTCCTTCGGATTTCACCGCATAGGGCCTATCTCCACTACTCACCAAACGTGCAAAATGAGAATGAATCTGGGGCTAGAACATGGATAGATGCGATGCCGTATTTTCCGTCTTGTGTGCATGTGGAGGGCAGTGGAGCGAGACCCACAGTGGGAATGTTCCAATATTTATGCACTATGTGCAAAACGAGAGTGAATCTTCTGCTAGAACATGGAAAGAAACACCACCATGATTTTTTGTCTTTTGTGCATGTCGAGAGTAGTGGAGCGAGGCCCGAACGGTCTTTCCGAAAAGAAGAAAAAGGGAAAAACGCACTGGAAGCCAAATCACGTAACGCTGGTAGAGTGCGGTTTGTATGAAGATGGACGAAGTGAGGGGCGGCGCCGTAGCGCTCAAGCCTCGTGACGCGTTGCGCTAATCTTCATTAGGGTTTCTTCAATATACAAGGAGCTTGGATGCCATAGCCCTTCTTCAAAAGTCGCGGAGTTTAGACGCCATATCCTGGGGCGCTCAGCACGGGTGAGGCGTGTCGTGAAGCCGTCAAGTTTCAGATGAACTTGAGCAACAGCGACATGAACTTGTCCTTGGCGTTGTGGACAGGTGGTGGACCCATCAGGGAGGGAGAGAGGGTTATAAGAATACTCGAAAAATCTCAGAACATTTTGAACATCTTGAACTGAAGAGCGTGGTGTGAAATTGAGGGCGCACGATAGCGCTAACACTGGCGCCATGGAAAGGGAGATGGGGGCGTTGCGAACGCGGGCGTTGCTGCTGGTGTGGGCGCGCGCTTCCGGGGGCCCGCGTGGACGCTGCTGGCGGGTGCGCTGGCGAGGAGTGAGGGCATGCGCAGCGAGTGCAGCTGGCAGAGCGGGTGGGCGCGCATTGTGGGGCAAGCGTGTGCTACTGGCAGCATGGGAGCGGGCTTCAAACAAAGTTTGCAGACGTTGCAGGTGGTCGGGCAAGCGCTACTGGGCGTGCACTTTTGCGCTGCTGGCTGGAGAGCGGCCATGGCAGTCACTTGTTTACTGGCCACCACGTTAGTGCTGACTTGGCGTCGTCGTCTTCTATACCTGGGGCGGGTGTTGCGAAGATTTTTTTGGGGGACTACAAGGCGAGAACATGAAATAATAACGTCACTTGATATTTTCTGTCCTGTGAAAGCACATTGTTCCATCTCGCTGCTTCATGCTTCATTCGGGCCATACTACAGGCTAGTATGTTGAATGGATGGGAGCTTGCTGTCTTTTTTGAAGATAAAAGCTCCTTGATGAATCACTCTCGCTCTTTTACTTGCGGGTTATAGTGGAGGGAGGTCGGCTTGCTGCGAGGAGAGGAGAGAAGAGTGTTATCACGGGGAGTGGGAGGATGATCGACAAAAGATATTGAGTGCGGACTCTACGAGCGTTGCGACGGTCTCTTCAAGAGGAAGCCGCTTCGACTTGGGGAGTTTCTTCTTCAGCTCGTCAGCGTAGTCTTCTTCTTTTCATCATTGGCGATGATCAACAGGGCTCATCTTCATTTTCATCAGCATATTCATTGTCATCATCAAAATCGTTAGTGACAACCCTAATTATCGTCATCATCAGCAGCAGTAGCATCGTTGTCATCAACATCATCATCATCATCATCATCATCATCATAATCATTACCATCATCGTCATAGTCATCATCATCATACGGCAAGTGTGATTGGGAGGGGTGGGGAGGATAATTGTTCCACCACGTCCCGTCCTTTCTTTCTTCTCTTTCCTTTTCTTCTTCTACCTATCTCACTCCCGTCCTTATCCTCCTTTCTTTTCTTCTTGCCCTTTCTTCTTTTTCTCTTGTGTTGATGCTTGTTCTCTGCTCTCGCCGGTTTGTTGCTTCAGTGTTGGGGGTTCTGCTGCTGCTTCGTTTTTGGGCTATCTGAGCATGCTTTTTGGGATCCCTCACGTAGCTTACTGTGTCATAATCTGTTGATTTTCTCTGAGTCTTTTTCCTCACTTTTATTCTCATTACCAGTTCTTATTAGGTACTATATTCACCATCTAATCAATTTTCTCAAATTACCAACTCAGTCTTCCTTATGAGTATCATCTTTAATTAATACCTCAACTATTTTTTGACTTTTATCTTCGTTAATTAATATCCTTACTAAAATCTCGAAATATTCTTGACTATTATTTTGAATTTTCATCATATACTGGATTTCACGATAATAAGCCGCAATGGTATTTTTGCTACCTAAAAATTTGAATTAATTAATTAATTAATAATTATTAATTAATCTTTCCTGTTATCCATCAACTTAGTTAATTAAACACATGCCACGCCGCATCTTCTTTTGGAATCTCCCATAAGTTTTCCCCAGTAATTTAGATTCTTTTCAACCTCTTTTCAAAAAATGGATTTCTAAATTCTGTATGTTTTTTCTTTGTTCCTCTTCCGTGTGTATCAATGTTCCTTTCAAAATTTGTATGAGGGTTTCTTGGAGGGGGTGAGCTCTGCTCTACACGAGCTTCACAAGGAGGGTAGTGATGCTCGGGAGGGGGTATGAGCAGACTGTGGGGGATACTCTACACTGGGGCTGGGGCAGATGTGAGGGCAAACATCAAACCTAAGCGGAGGCAGATTAGGGTATGGGGCAGGCAGAGGAATAGTTTCGGTGGGAACTGGATTTCTCTGGGTGTGGGAAGGAGGAGCGGGGGTGGAATTTTCTAAGCACTAACTATTTTAGTACTGCACAAGTGTCTGGGAGACAGACGGCTGTCTTTAAAGAACCAGGACAAGGGTAGTACATCCCTAATTAGGTTAGTTACGCTATGTCCACCTTGGTTGTGACACTCCCTGGGTGACATTTGGTTTCTTCTATTATGGATAACAGGATTTCAGGGATAGCTGAATCCTGTCTGGTGTTTGCTAGAGTAGTAGTGTTCTGAGCTCTTGGTTTGCTGATGCCAGAACGACGGTGGCCGGTGCTGGGGTGTTTGCCCTGTGACCTTTTTTGTAGCAGGAGTGTGAGGCCTGGTAGAGAGATCTGGGGATCTGTCGAGGGAGGAAGACAATCCAGTGGCAAACTAGGAGGTACTACCAAGGCAACCTTTGAGGCCGGGTATAGTTTTGGTAGTGAGAAAAACACGACAGCGATGGCAGGTATTGGGCAGGTTGATTTTATCTTTGGAGTGCTGAGTCTGGTTTAGGGGAAAGCTAAGAGTTGAGGCTGCGAGTTGCAGATGTAGTCGATGGAGTCCCCACTGGTGCCCCCCAGCGGCTCCTCCCGGCTCCCTGACTAGGTACAGGGTTGGAGAGGGTGATGGCGACCATCTTGCTTCCACTTTCACACCTGCTCAGTCAATCCTCTGGTCTCCAGAGCAATCAATGCTGGCAGGTTCCCTCCAGACACCATCCGGTTTTCTTTTTTACCATGCTGTATCCACTATGTAAGGGAGGCTGGACCCGTTTTCCAGCAGGTGATGCTCCCCACCAATAGATGGAGCTACCCCCCGGGTGCTAGCGATGTCTGTTCTAACAGCACCGCTAGCACTGGAGTTGCGGATGTAGTCATCATCTTTGTCATCATCAGCTGATTTACTAATCTCCATCATCTTTAGCATCATCGTCATTAGTATCATTATCTCACAGTCTTCGTAGAATCAGCAATTTAAAAAAAAAAGTTATATCAAGCTTTCTGGTGTTCTGTAATGCTTAGCGGCATCTAGGCTTCTTCCTCATTCGGGATATAGGATTTCAGAGATGGTGGAATCTGGACTGATATCTGCAGAGTTGCTTTGTTCTTTGCCCCTGGTTTGCCAATGCCAGAATGACGCTGACCGGAGCTGGGGCGTTGCCCTATAACCTGCGAATGGCAGGAGTGTGAGGCCTTGTAGAGAGATCTGGGGTTTTGCTGAGGGAAGAAGGCAATCCAGATGCGAACTGGGGGGGCCTGCCTAGACAACCTATGGGTCCAGGGATAGTCTAGGTGGTGAGAACAGTCAGCTATGGTTGATGTTGGTTAGGATGGCATTGTCTCTAAGATGTAATGTCCTGGTACAGGGAGGGCTAGGAGTTGTTATTGGATTAGGAGGCCATAATTGCTGATATAGCGTAGTCTTCTATATTTTTTACATACTAATCATCATCATCATCATCATTGGTATTATTATCTCACAGTTTTCATAGAATCAACAACAACAAAAAAA